TCAAGAGGAGGTTACCCGAGGAGAGCAGCCGCGGCAAACCTAAAGATGTCAACTGGATCTGGGTAACGAGATGAGACCTCCCATTATATCTTTCTTTAGTTTCATGTTTTTATGAGTATACTGGGAAACTCAAGGATTGTGTTTTATGTTTTGTTGCTCTTGATTGAGGTTGCCCAAGTATTTAGGGCATTTCACTTGAGAATCTTGAACATTGTTGTTGTTGATTTTTTTTTGGTTTTGACTTGTAAACCTGTTTTGGGTTGCTCCGGAGTAACCAGTTTGTGGTTTGAGTTATGTTTTGGTTTTCAAAAAGGATCGGGTCATTTCACTTCTTCCGGCTCTAGGGTGATTTGTGCCACCTTCTTTGCACTCCTCGGTAGTGCATCTTCAGTTACAGTCACACTCATAAGCATGATGGCGTGCAAGCCCTCCTTATGATTTCTGGGGTTTGGCAAGGGTTGGCCAGGAACTGTGCCAGCCGGTTTAGAAGCAAGGGCATCTTCCAGGTGCCCGATTTTGGTGTCCATATTCTGCAGAAGTGCCTGGTATCATAGCCCCGTTCAACGCAGGGGCAAGGAGGAGATCGAGCGGGTCTGTTTCTTCGCGAACAGAAAACAGAGATGAGCAAAGAAGGATTCGTATTTGAAGAAGAGACCCAATTCGAAAAGAAGACGATGGACACTCAGCAAATCAACATGGACGAATTCAAACAGATGGCCATCGAAGCAATTCAAGCGACCTTCCAACCAAAATTCGACAGGATTCAACATCGAATTGATGAGCTGATGTTATTGGAGAACAATTTAGTGTCACCGCAACTCTCTGCGGTGCACAATCTAAGTCTAGAGAGGAATCGCGATCGTGGCATTCCAAACGGATGCAACCCAGCCCTGGAAGAGTGTGTTCGCGACTTGGAAGTGAGATGGGCAAAGGAGATAGGACCTTCGAGTGGTTCGAAAGTGGAGAAAGAAGCAGCAGCCTGCCGACTCTTTTTTTCTCCGGTAAAACAGAGTTTGCCTTCTGTTGTAACCATCGTTGCACTAGAGGATGATTCGGAGGATTTCGTTGCTTCTAGTAAGTTCATTGAATGCCCAGGAATGATTTCCCACGCAGCTGAAAACCCAGAACAGATTGTAGGCGATCGAACACCTCCATTGACAAGAACTCAAAAGCTCTGCCGCTTTTCGGCAGCACAGAGTTTCGAAATTGATGATCTCGTCGTGACGTATGGAGATGATTCGAAGCAAGATGCCTTCATTAACACGCTCAAGGAAGACCCAGGAACATGTCGGTTTGTTGAAATCGAGCCAGAACGAGCCCTAACAAAGAAGCAGCAAGTCGATTGTTTGCCTCTGAAACTGCCGGAGTTCGACTATGAAAACAGGTATCTCGTCGGAGAGATTGAGCATGAATCGAGTCAAATGAATACTGAGAATCAGTTACTGGATGATCATGGAAGGTGTAGCATCACAGAAAGAAGTTCAAAGCGGCCTGAATTCAGAATCCCCAATTTCAGTTTGGATGTTCTACGCTCACGGAATTTGACTCCCGATGACGGCGGGAAAAATGCAGATGATGGTTTGTCTTTCCCCAGGAACTATCAAGGTTTAGAAGCAATCGAAAATTGTACTTCAATGATGGAGCAATCAAATTCGACCAGTAGATTGAAGAATGAAGGCTCGAGTCATTGTAATTCGACTCTTGACGACTTCCCCGAGTTCATCGCAAAACTGGGCAGTACTGTGAAGATTTTGGCCTAGTTTCCAACAATGATCGTTGTCGATATTGGTCAAGGAGGCGATGTAGATTCAAGTATCTTTGATCCTCATGAAATCGTCCATGCATACCAACAAGGCAGGAGGAAGTGATTGCAGCAATTGGAGTCCATGTTTGAAGACCCATTTGAGAGTATTTCTGATCGTGTTTTGTCTTGCCGAATCATGCAAGCTTTGAGGGCAAAGCATTTTGAAGAGGGGAGGCTGATATGATTCCAAATAGCCTCTACACATTTAAATTACTTGATGAAGAAGCTATCGAAGTTGGGAACAAGAATGACAGAATTTGGTTAAGTGTTGTAACAGTGTCAGGTAGCCTACTTTGGTAGTGTGGTTCTCACAATTAGATTGACCGAAATTCAATATTAAGGGCTTGTATTGAATATGGAGTGTTTATCTACACATTGGTATGCTTGGTTTCTCAAGGAGAGGTCAGGAAGTTTCTTTTCCTAGCTCACCAAAAGCCTATGTCAAAACTGGAAAACTGCCAGAAAATGGTTAAGTCTCGAAACGTGTTTGTGAAGGCTACTTTGGAGCTCAATTCGAGGAGCATGGATCTGATTCGAGTATAAAGGCTTCCACAACATGAAAATAGGTATATTTATCTACAAAGGGAAGGAATTGGATGAAAGAGTGGAGATCTAGAATGATTCGAACATAAGGCTCAAAGTTAGTACAAAATCACAAAATTCTGCCTTGTAAAAACAGAATTGTTTTCCTTATTCGATTAGAATTAGTTTGTTGTTTCGTATTAATTGTTGCTTTTATTCCTTTTTTGAGTTGTAACCTAAATATGATTTTTTTGAGTTGTTAGGTTTAATTAGAGTCTATTTAAGTCGAGTCTATCATTGTAATCGTGAGATATTGTTCAATTGAATTGAAAACTTCGGTTTTATGCAAGTTGCGACTTGTTTTGGGTTTGGTGGATTCTAAACTTGTTGAGCTTGTGTATCGATTGAATAGTCCCTTCAATCGTGGTCGAGCAACTACCCTTTAACCCAATCTAGCTATCCTCATGTGTGGATTTGTCCTTTTGGTTCCATTTTGCCCAAGTTCATATTAAGAACGTTTTGTTCTTGATTCGAGTTCAATCGATTCTGCAATTGAATCGTTAGCTGCATTACTTTGATCACATACAACCCCCCAGGGTAGTATCACTTATGATGCACCCTCTCATACCCCATCAGACCCCTTAAACAAACTTTCGCTATTTATATACTAATAATTTGTTCATTTGTAGTACTTCTTCATTTTCAGCAGTACTCTTTCTAAAATCATCAATCACTACTAATTAAAAAATACTACTAATGATAATAAAATCACTACAACATCTTTGCTAAGTCATTATTAATTAAAGTAGAAGCAGTTTTTGAGCAAAAATTTTTACGAAAAAGTTTTTCATGAAGGGGGAGAGAAATATTTTAAAATTTAATATATTTATGAAATTTAATTTTTTAAAACACCTAAAATCCCCTCGTTGCTCCCCCGTCGTATTTAAATTAAAAGTAATAAACGGTGTTGAGAGTGGTTAGCATGATGCCATGTTTTTCACGTCGTGTTTTCCATTGGTTGTTTCAACCTGTACCGGTCACCAAACTGGTTGAAGAGGTCTTGTATTCAGTCTTGGTCAAATTCGGTTAAAATATGGAAGTTCCGACTAGTTAGACGAGAAACCAAATTTTCTTATTTTCACACATATCGTTCAAAAATAAACACCCATCATGAGATTTCAACCAAGTACCTTATCTTCCCAGTTTCTATGATACACCAATAGATTACTAGGAACTTTGTTAAGCATATTTACCTTATATGTTATATAACTAATACTATATTTCAAATAAATCATTGTAAACATGGATAAATTTTATTTAATATACTTTATTTTTACATATCTAATTGTTTACTATTAGCTACCAATTCCTAACTATAAATTATTTTGTGTGAATTAACTCTTTTAATTGTTTATTTTCATTTTTCTCATGTATTATATTGAAATCCGCATAAACTGGTTATATCGCGAGTCATATCATTCCATTTGCCAAATCGACATAATAGTATAATCAGGTTTGACAACCTTGGATAACACTCTTAAGTAATTCTTTTCTTCTCTCCTCGTTTCCCCAACCAAAAAAATTAACCTTCACCCAACATTTCTCCATTTCAAAGTAAAGACCCCCTTAGACGAACAAGAGATTGGTCTAGTAGTAATACCACTAGCCATGAACCTGGAGGTCCCAGGTTCGAGTCCCTTCAGTAGTATCTAATAACAAAAAAGTAACATATATCACCCTTATCTAAAAAAAAAGTAAAGACCCCCTTAGACCATCTCCAAAGGGAGTCCACAAAATTCAAAAGAGCTTTAAAAGAAACTCTTCCAACCGTAGCCTAGAAGTCGGAAAGGGCAAAAAATTAGGAAATTTTGGGTATATTTGGCCTAGATATGATAAAAGCCCAAACAAATCCGGCCCCACCTGACACCCTTGAATGACACGCCGAAGTAAAAAAAAATTACAAATAACCCCCCAACTTTTAGAGAGCGAAACTAATTCAAAGTGGACACTGGGGAGCATTCAAGCTCAATCATTGTTGGGCCATACTATACCATTCTCAAAGTTCATGCACTAGTGAGCTTTTGGTATGGGGATAATGACTCACGACCTATAGCCTCTTTTCCCTTGTTTGAAGTAGGCATCGTACTGAACAACATTATTCATGACTCGGTTGAATAAGGTAAGGGGCATCTGATACTGCCTTGTGAAGGCCATGATGTCGTAGGTTGGATTCGAGATGAAATCATCTTGCATCAAACACTTGTGACAAATCATCCTTGTTACGTCTCACTGATTTTCGTGATGATGAACTGTTGTGAGATGAAGTTGCTTGATGTTAGTGAGGATAATTTGCATACATCAAGAATATCTCTATATATTCACGTTCAGATTGACTCTCATACTCCCATTGTCTATCATTAGTTTCTCTTTGTCTCTCATAAGCTTCTTTACTATGAGAATCTATAAAGGGGAAAGACTAAAGAGTTTTTGTGGCTAGAGAGATGTATGAAGGGAAGTTTGAATGGTTATTGGCGAGAAAGAAGGTTGAATTTGGATGAGGAGAATGATCAAATTAACACTGATGAAGATTATCAACAAATTCTAATATGGAACTTTTTGGATTAGAAAGTTATATCTAGCCCCAAATTTTAGATTAGTTTAACTTGCCGTTTGGAGATGGTCTTGGTATGCTATTTTGGGATTTGCTCTAACCGAAGCTATTGCTGGTGGCTTAGTTCCGTGCAGCTCTCTCCACTCTGATTGGCGAAACAGAACTCTTCCCTCCTCCCCAGCGCTTTTTCCCTCCCTCGGCAACCGTTTTCTTCCACCGATGGCCGTCGGCGCCGCCACTGCTGTGTCGGCCACCGATCACAATCCAGCAATGATGTAGCTACACCGTACTCTTTTCCTTAGTATTTTACTGAGAGTCTCATTTCAAGTCTTGTCTGTTCAATTGGTTCCGTCACACTGTTCTCACTGTTGAGTGTTGATCGCGGAATAAAAATCCCCGCAACAGCCGTAATCCGGAAGTTCTGTGGGCGCAGCGCTCCGATCAAGTGTACTTGACTGTTGCCTTGCCGGACGCTAAGGACATATCGGTGAAATGTGACCCCAAGGGTTTGTTCAGCTTCTCCGCTCGCGGGAAACAGGGCGAAACCTTCGAGCTCAATCTCCAGCTTTACGCTCCTGTTCTCCCCGAGGTTAGAAATTTACCGCTTCTTTGGCCATTGTTTTTTCTTTTGTTTTCTGTAGCAGTAACTAGTGAATCTCTGTTATTGTTTCTCTTCTCCGTACTCTATACTGTTTGTTTTCGTCGTATATTGTTTGGAACTTTGCCCTGGAAGAGAGAATCAGAGCTTAGAGTGTTTTTGTGCCTTGTGGATTCCAATATGTGCCGGAAAGCAGCTTGTTGAAGTTCTCTGATTATATGCGTCTCTGTGTTGAGTTTGGATACGATTTATATGTAAATGTGATGTGATGTTCGATTTCCATGCAAGCATGTTAACTGTTTGATTGATGGGGGGTGAGTGCAGAAATGCAAGACTAATGTAGGGTTAAGGAACACAATCTGCTCGATTCAGAAAGAGGAGAAAGGGTGGTGGAAAAGACTGCTGAAGTCTGAAGAGAAGCCGGCGCCTTACATTAAAGTTGATTGGAACAAGTGGGTGGATGAAGATGACGAGGAATCAACTAGTATGTATTTTATCAGCGGTTATCAATGGCTGCTTTACTTTGTCTTCTTAGCTAGGTGGTTCTTTCTCTGTGTGCCAACTCTGGTTTTCGTGAACCATGTTCAGAATAATTTAGTTAGGCCCTGATTTCATCCCTTAGCTATTGGTCCACTGTCCTTAAAATGAGGGGCTATTTGCCCATCGGTTGAATGCTTCGAACTGTTAATTGGTTAGCTGGCCATTTGGGACGTACACGTACTGGAAAAGAGTCTTGGGGGATGAGTAGTTGTCTTAGTGCCTTCCTTTCGAGCGACTTCTCAGAATCTTAGCATGAACCATATCGTCACTACTATATTCATGAGATCAATAGGATGATTGCTCTTGCAAGCCATAACTTGTCCCCATACATGCTCAATACGTTATCCAGGATTCTGATTCTAACAGTTTTCCTATGATTCATTTTGCAGTGGACATGCTGTCAGACGATGACGACACACTTGCGGTAACCTAGTGTTCTATTTTCACAAAATTAATCACTTGCTCAAGTTTGGTAACGATTAGCCGCATAACATGTGGTTCCTTCCTTCTGCAGGATGATGAGGATGCTGAAAGCAATGACGACGAAGGAATGCTTTGTAAGTTAAAAGTGTACACTTTCCTGCTTTTACTGTAGATAGTGGGTTTCCACTTTTTCAAGCACACTATCATTGCAGCATTTGTAGATATCTGTATTATTGCTTTAGTGGGCAATACTCATTTATCTACACGCATACCTTGGTGATGAATCTGAAACTTTTTTGTGCAGACCTTCCTGATCTAGAGAAGGCAAGGGGAAAGTGAGCTGTTTCTTATGCATGGTGCTGCCAAGGTTTGTTTATGTGAATATAGCCATTAGCCACCTGCAACTCCTATGTCCTTTCCCTCTGTCTCAACTTAGCTAGGACGTATGTGCTGTTTAGAAGTTTAGCTTAGCTCTCCTCTGGGTTTAACTACCAATACTACTTAGTTCATCCATGATTGTAACTCTGGGATCTTGTTTCTTATTTGAATCGAATCGCATAGTACATGTAGGCGGTTAGCAGAAGGCTCTAGTCTTTCCTGTTTACTTAACTCATGAAGTAGGCCAAATGTAGATAACTAATGACTCCCCACTAAGAGAGAAGTGCTTTGGAGTTTCAGTTTCTTACTTTCTATGAGCAATTAGTGGGTCAGCTATGCAACTGCTAACTGGGTTCTGGGTGTCATCAGATTATTCACCTGGACACTCCCAACTAGAACAACGGCAGATTAACAGGGGCTGGAATTGGGTTGATTTTAGGGTTTGCTTTGGATCAAGTTTGGGTTTAAGTAAGGTCATCGTCAACCCTTAGAGGATTCAAACAACATACATTTGAGTCAAGTATAAAGGAGAACTGTTTAACAAGCTACATATTTCGACCACATACTTCAACAAACATAAAACACAAACCGCTTGGACATCTTGTACTAAATACTCTGATTTCTTGTCTTTCCCTATGGCTACTTCTAATCTGTTGTCACCCTGCTAACTATCTTATAAGCTCTTGGTACATGTACCGAGTCAAGTATAAGATTATAGACATGGAAAACCCATGAGCTGCCTAGCTCTCCTTCTTCTCCGGCGGAGGTTCATCGACTACACGGACACTGACGACTGGGATTGTATCCCACCATTCTTTAAGCCTTCTGTTCCCTTGATCATTCTCCATGTACTTCCCTAGCTTCGATTTCATTATTCCATAATACACAACTCCACCCATCAAAATGTACTTCACTGGAATCACCGCCAGGACGATTGCTACCAAACCCATCACCATCATTGCCTGGCCCGAATGCTGCATCGTAGGATAGACGGTGAACAATCTGGAAAAAAAGAGAATGATATCAGATGTGCATAGATTAGATTCGCATACCTTTGGGGCTTTTGCGTTCATCAGGGACTGGATTTTCAGTATGGCTATGTTTGCTGCTTGCATAAGCTCGTGCACAGTTCTCAACCCGAACTGAGCTGCGACGATGCTCTCTGTTGTGCTCTTCTGTTCCCCGCCAGTGTGGATCACTATCTCATCATCACGCTGCTTCCTCGAGCGGCCGTGTCGTCCTCGTATTGCCTGGAGTATCCTCCATGCGACTCGTAGCAAGAAAGCAGCTACAGCTTTGCCGACCCACTCCCTATTTTTCAACCAGCCCAGGCGATGTTCTTTTGTCATTGCATTGACTCGACAAGTTCAGCATAATGGACAATGGAAGAGACTTACTTGTAGATGATTACTATAATTGTGATAAACACAATTAGAGTTGTTGATGGCCGCTCCCATAGGACAATCTCTACAAACCATGGTAGAAGATCTCGCACCGGCTTTGTCAACTCCTGCCACATTTCAATGGAATTGTATATATATACCACCGTCACTTGCACAGGAATGAAAAGGTTGTGGAAGTTGTTTAAAGTTTAGACGCCTAGGGCTACTCACCATGAGAACTTGAGCACTGTCAGCAATCCCTTCCTCTTTCAACCCTTCTGTAGTAGCCTTTGCGAAATCAGCCGCCTTAGTTTCCTCCCTCACTTGATGCACCGCGCTCTCCAAAGATGAACGTATTATCTCATCGTCTTCTCCACCAACATTTCCTCTTTCCTCCTTCACCAGCTTAACTTCTCCGCTCGACACGAGCAACTGGGACACATTTATGTTCCTCAAAATCGAGCTAGCGCTGCAGGGGTGTCCACTGTTGACCGTCTCTATACTTGCAGCGAGCTGGTCCAGCACGTAGTCACCCTTGGGCAGTTCGTCATACAGTGCAAAGATTAGGAACTTTGTTGGATCTGGTGGGGAGATTCGTAGCAGCTCTCTAGCTGCATGGAGCCTCACTATTCCCAGAATGGTTCTCGAGTGGATCTCCCACGCTTGTATCTCGCACTTCACGTTGTACCTCGACAGGAACTGGTGTATCAGGATGATCTCTTTGATGAGGGCCAACCAGTGGTCACGCCTTGTTGAGCTTGTCATCTCTGGGAACTCCAGCACAATGCCTTCCGATCTGCAAACCGAAATTCCATTCAACAATATTCATATGAAACCTGACTATATGATGAAGGAAATTGTCTGGTCTTACAGTTCAGGGGATTCGTAGATGATGGCCCTGTCGAAAAGTGGAGCGCCCCATGGGCCTGTGGCGGTGGCTTTGATGCTGTGTTTGGTATCGCTTGAGAGGTCGATTTTGATTGCATCCTCGTATGTGATCACCCCTGATGCCTCGAAGTAGAGAGCGTAGTTGGTGAGTGTGAGCCTACCTAAGAGGAAAACATTGTCACAATTAGACCTAAAAGGCGCCACTGAGGATTAAAAAAGGGATAGAACAAAGAGCAAAATGGGACAAGATTATCAGAACTACACCACAAAAGGCGCGATCGATCGAGATGGTACAGAGGACATCCAATTAAGTGTGAAGGCTACTTAACATCACACCAAGAAGATGCTATGAAGGAATCGGAAAGACACAGAAGAGAACTTGATCGGTACGAGTTAAGGCTACCCATGCCATGAGAAAAACATTTGTCACTACGAGAAGAAAAATGTGCTACTGGGGATTCAAACGAGATAGTAGATAGCACAATAAGGCACGTATCAAGGATTGAAAAAACAAGGCAGAGGAGAGGGTCGTTTACCAGGCCAGCTCATGCCCCCAATGTGGCGGACGACACGCTGGGAACTAGCGGTGCCATCGACATGCAAAATGAACTCTTCATCAGCTAGTTCCACACCTTTAGGCTTAGCTTGCTTCTGAAGATTCTTTATGGATCTGAAGGAAGACAAATTGCAGTGAGGATCAGCATAAATACTAATAGGTTATGGTGACAAGAGATTGTAGAACTAGTTGAGAGGCAGGTTTAGAGGACAAGCATAACTGGTCAATTTCTTTCAAGAACTTGTCGTATGCAGGGTAGAAAAGGCGGTGGGCAGTGGGCGCTGTAAGAGTCTCGAATGTGAACCTCCCATTCACAAAATCCACAGCCAATGGCACCATTGTTCCCATCCAAACAACCGCATCTTCACCCACACTCGGCCCATCGTTGACCTTCATTTTCCCATTCACCACAACAACGAACCCAGGCTCAAAAGTGAAAACCCCTTCCTGTCCATCACCCCTGACCAAGTGAAATGAAGCAACTACTTACAAGGAGTGGCATAAGGTCGCTGTAGAAAAGTGAGATTTCATCAGTCTCTCCAGTAACTTTAGTGGGTATCTTGTTCCTCCTATCTTGCAAACTTTTCCCCACATTCTCCTGTTAAGAAAACTCCAACAACATAAAGAAACCAGAGCAAATTGATCAAATGGGTTTGGGATTAATTTATTACCTCAGTGGATTGCTCTTGCTGGGAAGTGGGAGTCTCCCAAGCAAGCATCATGTCGAAGGTGAAGCGCGAGAAGGATCCATCGACGATCTTCTCCTCGATGAACTGGCACTCTTGGCGCAATGCCTTTGAGCAGCAGAATTCCACAAACTTCTTGGAATACTCCCCTGTTTCTTCCTTCCACACCGCCGCTTCAAATTCTGCCACCAATTCCTCCAAACTAGTCCCCACCGTTCTGTCAGATATACAGGGGAAGCACAAAAACAGAATCAAATGTTGTTCATCATAACCCCACAAATCTGAGAAATGTCGGCTACAGAGAACTCTCGCAACCGACTGATTAAACTATTGATTATAGCATCCTGAGGAAAACTCGATGGTGGCTAGAGAAAAGGTTGTATGCTCGAATTGGCCAAATGTTTTCATGGTCGTGATAATCTCAGACATATGCGTCGCGGTTCTCCATTATGAAAAAAAAAAAAAAACTAGGGATTATAATTCGAAATTAGATACAAACAGTGATTATATGAACAACACTGGATTGCATTCGGCAGAATGAGAGTAAGGGGAGTCGGGGGTTAATTACTGGGCGCAACGGTGGACAACGTCGTTGGCGATGGAGGAAAGATGCTTCATTTGGTTGGACACCACTTCTTCTTCTTCTTCTTCTTCTTCCTTGGTGTTGAATCTCTTGTTATGAAGTTGGGAGGTTTTCTTTCTGCTATGTTAACGGGGGCCGAGAGAGAGGGAGAGTGGGAGAAGAGGATTGCATGGAGGACGGTGGCGGTAGGATGACGTGTCCATTGCTGACTCCGCCTCGTGGCAATGTTCATGCAGACACATGGTACCACCTCCATTATTTTCGCAGCTAATTAGATATCATATCATTTTGCTTTCTTTGTTACGGTGCGGATACGGTTGGATTGCACCGGTAGCGGATCTAGTGAATATCTTTGTAGTCAATAATTATGCATTACTCAATCAGAATTCGCCACGTCAGTACCTTTTTTCTTATGAAAAAGCCTTTAATTTCCCCCTCTTAATCTTTAACGAATGATTTCTCACTCGTTTTAAGTCGAAATTTAATTTTTATGCACAGTTAGATCAGATTAATTGTGCTATTCAAAATGATATTCACTTTGATATATTTTTTGAACAAAAAAATCGAGTCATTTTTTAGCAGTCTATACGTGTAAAATACCTCGGGTACCACTTAAGTTTGAGAATTGGGGCAGACATACCACTTAAGTTTGAATAGGGCGTCGGGTACCATTAAAATCGTCAAAATGTGCATCCGTCTAGTTTTCCATCCAACCCAAAATTTTAATTACTTTTTGGTACCCAAAACTTTTAAAAACACTTATAATGATAATTGATTCTACATTTCCTATTCAAAAATTGGTTTGGTATCAAAGTATTCAAAAGAGGATTCCAACTAAATAGAATTCATAGGATATATTTGCTTTAGAGAATAATTCAATTATTAGAAAATATAATGATAATTGAAAATACTTATAATGATAGTTGATTCTAAATTTTCTATTCAAAAATTAATTTGGTATCAAATCTTCAAAAGAGAATACCAACTAAATAATAAAAATTGATGTTTTTCATAAGTCAAAATGATTTTTTACAATAATAAAAGTAGAAGGACCAATTAAGAAATTTAGAAAACAGAATATTCCAAGAATAGTCTGTTAACTTAAACGGTCTGCACCTAACATTAAACTTAAGTGGTACCGGGTGCACAAATAATAGAGTTCAGTGGTACCCGACGCCCTATTCAAACTTAAGTGGTATGTCTGCCACAATTCTCAAACTTAAGTGGTACCCAAGGTATTTTACCCCAGTCTATACCATATGGTATTGACTGGTATCGAAATAAGAGTATACCTATGATATGAAAAGCGTACCATTGTGGTATGAATAAACCAAGACTGTAGGATGATTGAATATATGATAGTAGAAATATATTAATTGTCATTTAGGATTTTTAACATTGCTTATTAGCTGTCATTTACGACTTTTAACATTGTGTACCACAAGATACCACCTCGTACCAGGGTGGTATTGTATGGTATTTTTTGGTCTTGTATTTTGTTCACCCAAAAATTTGTAGATTCAATAGATCAAGATGAACTCATTCCTTCTGTACAAAAATTTTAAAAAACGAATTAAAAACGAAGAATATACCATATGGTATTCAATTGGTACCGAGAGGCACAAAAAAAAATTTCTAAAAAAATATTGAAAATGGATCTCATTTTGTAGAGCACAATATACTCGTTCCATTTGTGCAAATAAAAAAATTGAAATCCGAGTTAAAACGAAGAAAATACGAGTCCATTAAAAAAACAAGGAAAAAATAAAAATGTCTTTAATTATCCACCCATAGATATGGATTCTTTGAATAAATGGTACAAATTTAGTTACTGATTGGTGCATAACCCATGATTATGCACTGTAACTTGAGCCGATTGTACCACAATATGTTCTTAGTTGCTAACATGCTTTAAGTTGGAATTGAGGCGAGAGGCCAGTCGAGTTGTTTAGATAGTGTAAAATATGATGGACATCAACATATGAAAACAAGGAGGAAAAGAATCACATGATACTGATTAGGGCTGGGAAAATAGACCATACCGTTAGAAAAACCGTGGTCCAAACCGTACCGCACAGTTTGGTCTGGACCGTAGACCGTGAAGTATGGTTTGGTCTGATCCATGGTCTGTATTATTTTATGATTCGATCTCTTGGTCTAGTCTGGTCTAGACCGCGGTTTACCGGACCAAACCGTGGACCCAACTGACTTGTCAATACGTGTTAACGGCTCATTCGACCACTCTCCAAACTCCCACAACGACACCCAAGTCTCAACCTTAATTTTGTGAATCTCTTCCCTCCTTCATTCACAACCACATTTAACCAGAGAGTAGAGATAATAGTGTCTCCATATGACATTATGTTAATGTTTATGATGTTATGGTGCAAGCTGAATGTTTTTACTTTGTATTTTTGTTATGTACTAAGATTTAGAGTATCAAAATTATTCATGCATGTTAGGATTAACGTTTTAAGGCAAATAACAATTATTTTTCTTGGTTATTGGTTCAATTTTTTGTGTGATTGACTAAATAAATTATTCATTTTTCGTTGAGTATGGTCTATCTGGACCAGACCAAACCGAACCAGACCGCACAGGCGTGGTCTGGACCAGACCGTATAGTCTGTGGTCTGGTCTGTGGTCTATACCTTAGCCTCTCGGTCTGGACCATAGACCGTATATATGGTCTGGTCTGGACCAGACCGCACCGTTTCCCAGCCCTAATACAGATTATACGTGATTTTTCTGTTTGATGTGAGTCGAACTTATCTACGAAATTAAATGAGTAGACTTTTAAAAATTTTCTTATTAATTGATTGCGTGATTGAAGAATGCAGATGACATTGACTGTTGCAAGAGAGGAAGGGGTAAATCAAAACTCGATGAGGAGTATTTCAAGCTTTTATTTTCGTTTGAATGTAATTGTTATCACGTAGAGGCTCGCATTGAGTCACTTTCCATAAAAAAAAATATAAGTTGGAATTGAGACGAGTGGGCAGCCAAGTTGTGTAGATAGTGTAAAATATGAATAGGGTTAATACCTTATTTTGGCTCGAACTATACCCATATAATCAACTTTGGTTAATGGTTTCAGAAATTGTCATCATAACCTCAACTATACATCGCTGGGATTTTGGGGAGATTTGGAGCATTTTTCTTCCGGTGAAGTCGCCGGCGGCGAGGCTCCGGCGAGCTTCCGACAAAGCTCAGGCGACCCTCCTCTAGTCCTCTGGTCTGTTTTCGGCCAATTTTTTCGCCTTCCTCGCCCTCTCCTCACCTCTCTACCCTTCCAACTTGAGTATCTAGGTTTGTTTTCAGCTCTACCTTATTTATTTTGGGAGAATCGAATTAGGTAGCGAAGTGAGGAGAATTTTAGTGAATTGAATGTTGAACTTAGCATTAGGGCGATGAATTAGGTGAATTAGGGTGATTGAATGATGTTGCTTGAGCTTAGTTGAGGCTTGGTGGCCATATTTTGATTCGAATTGCTTTTATTTGTGAAATTTGCCCACCAAGTGCTAATTTTTGAATGATGTGAAATGTTTATGCTTTAGTGGTGGTTCGTAGCCACTGTGGCATGGTTTGGGTTTAATTTTTTTGTGGGATAATCCGTGAACACCTAGAACCATGCCTCGGTGTGCTTGTGCTTAATGTTTTTGATTAGCATGGGTCGTAATGGAAATATAAGTGTGTGGGGGAATTCCTTTTTCCTCCCAATGAGTTAAGATTGACAATTATTTCCACGTATGGTGCATGTTTTTCGGTTTTGCAGGATGCTTAACGTGCAGCACGAGTACGTCAGCTACTTTGTGAACCACGCACGGGTCGGGACCAAGTTTGCATACTAGAGGGCCCGATTGGGCCACATTGGCGGCTGGACCTGGACATGTTTAACCTGTTCAGGTGTCGATCCGCGATGTTAGGTGCTGAGCCCCCCAGTGGCGCCAGCTGCTGTCTATGGACGAGCTCATCTATCACGAGCTCTACGTGGAGTTCTACTCCACCTTCGCCCACGTCATCCCAACCAGCAAGAAGAGTTGGCCCTACGTGGAGTTTATGTTGGGCGGTCAGCCACGGGTGTTGACCTATGATGCATTCGCCAAGGCCATGGGGCTCGCCACGATATTTATGACGATGACTGCGGCAATACACCGTCGACTTCCACTACCAGGCCGCATTCCTGGCCCTCTGGCGCTCCGAGCACGAGCAGGACGAGTTCGAGGCTGGCCACACCAATGCGGTGAAGCTGAGGACCCCTTGGAGGATCATGGACACACTTCTCACCCGATCGGTCATCCCCAGCTCGCAGTCAGGGCTCTTGATCACGAACAAAGAGCTGCTTGCTCTCTTTTCAATGAGGCATCCAGTAGAGCCGATCCATCTGGGATCTCTGATAGCCACCTATTTCGCCCGGTGTCTGGGGCGGAACATGATGGACACTATGCATACGGGGGGCATCATCACTAGGCTGGCTCGACACTTTCAGGTGGATCTGGAGCGGTGCTCCATTGTTGGTCAGACAAAGCCCTTCACAGTGGCGACTCTCTACAACGAGAAGCTAGTGCTTCAGGGAGAGCGGGGGGTAGAGTACCTTGAGTGGCTCCGACCCTCAGGAGTCATGCGGGCGGTAGTTGACACGGCTCCAGTGGAGCCCAATGCAGAGGTTCCACCTCCAGAGCAGCCACCTGCTCGAGCTCCCGACCGCCGCCAGCGTCCCGCGCTCCAGCGTCCTGCAGCAGCAACACCACCACCACCAGCAGCACCATCCGGTGCCGGTCCTTCCACTTCAGGGGTGCCCCTAGTGGAGCGAATGGACCGTCTAGAGACCCACGTCGTGGGCGTCACTTCCCGGCTAGACCGGCATACCGCCCTGCTCGAGCGGATCGCTCGTCGCCAGGCCCTCGTTCCAGATGATTTGTAGGGGCCTTCGACCTAGTGAGAGGTAGCCGACGAGTGAGACATGTGGTAGAGCCAATTCCTTTCGCTCCACTTCTCCACTTGGAACTCTGAACTCTGTTGTTTTATTTTTCTT